ATTATAAATATAATAAAAATGTCAATACCATATTTAATATAATTAATTTTCTAATAATTTATTATTTAAACTATGAATACAATATACTTTTGTCTCTATTTTTCCTATACCATAAAAGTTTATAATATAATTATAATTAAATAATCAAACTATTCTATACAAAAAATTAACAATATCTAAATATATAATTTTTAATATTAATTTATTATAAATTAGTTATCTCAAATCTAAATACAATACATAAAATTCTTTTCATCTGTTATGTAACATAATTTTCTTTTTACTATTCTTAAATTAAACAATGAAATAATTCAATTAAAACTTCTATAGAGTCCATATTTTCCTTATACAAAACCAAAATACATTTTTATAGTTAATATTAAAAAACAATCAACTTTGTAAAACAAAAATTAAATATAATATCAAGAGATATTAGCTAACAAAGACAAAATTAAAGATTTTACAGCATTCTAGTTTACAATTTTAATTATTAAATACAAATTTTATTTTATTTATTTACTCCAAAATACAAAATATTCAGAAAAATTCGAAATGATAAGAAAAAAAATTAGAAAACTCACTTAGGGTGTAGACTGGACTTCAACATGGATGTAGATGCCTAGATCTGGTGATAAAGACTCTATATCTAAAGAAATAGATGGTTAGAATGATAAAAAAAAAAAAAAAAAAAAGACCAATCATCGAGATCATCAGCCTCTAACCGGTCAAAAAATGTAACTTACCATTGTGGCTCGCCTAAGATTGGTAGAAGAGATGCCCTATAGTGCAATGGATGAAAAATGGGACAAAATAATAGGGAAAAAGTGCAAAAGAGACCTAAGGGATGAACAAGGGGATGGAGGAAGAAGAAAGGCCTGCATGAAATAAGGCAAGCCCTTGTATAGACCGTTACTGGTCTGTATAAGGTTGAATCGTGGGCCCTGTGTCAAATCGATTCAAAGATTCTCTGGGGCCATTTTTCAGATTGATTTTGGTTTGAAAATATTAGAAATACTCGGACCAATGTCGGTCTAAATAATAAAAAGCCATCAAGCTGTAAATGGTAATCCGCAGGATAGTGTTCCAGACCAATTTCGATATGTATATGTTATTTAAATAATATTTTATTGTTAAATTTTGTTATTTAATAATTATTTTTCAGAAAAAAAATATTCAGACAATTTTTTGTCTATATAATATTGACGCATTTTCACTATTATTAACGCCAAAAATATATGAATTGTTATTGATCCAAATATATTGATTAATGGAAGTGGTTCCACCTCAATATATTTGGACTCTTTTGTCTAAATATATATTTATACGAATTGACTTCTATCGGTTCTATATGTTTAGTTTGAATTACTCATTTTTCTAGTAGTGTTTAATTTATCATATATATGTGATTATACATCCTTTTGAAATGTTCATATAGGATAATAAATGGAAGGTTAAATATCTGTTTTGGTCGCTCAACTTTCATTTTTAAATTGAATCTACCCCTAAACTTTAAAAAATACCAAAACTATCCTTGAACTTCAATTTTTGAAACCAATTGGTTTTTCCGTTGATGGAAGTCCTAGATGGCACGTTAAATTGCCACAAAATCAGTTCATTATCTTTAGTGGAAATTTGTGTAGATGATGTGGAAAATCAAATGGTTTAAGGTCATTAATTAATTAATTAATTAATACATTAAACTAAAATAAAAGTACAGAACTAACCTCATCTCTTTCCTCAAATTTTGCTTTTGCTCGTCTCTCTTTCTTCTTTTTCTTCTTTTTCTTCTTTTTCTTCTCCCATTCACCAATTTCTTCTTCTCTTATTCAAGTTCGTTGGTGATTGGGCTTCAATGAGGGTGGTTCAAGAGACTTGGCAGTTGGGTAGTACCTTGGAGTGTGGAGTAGTGAAGAAGAAGAACGGGATAAAAGGATTAGGTAGCAGACTCTCCGATGGTGGGTTTTATTGATGAGGTCAAGGGTCACAGATTCTCCTCCTCCTCTTTTTCTTACTCATCCTCCTCTTCTTCTTCTATTATTTAGGTTCTGCATTTTGGGTTCTTGATTTTCCAAGGACCTAGATTTGGGTTCTCAAAAATTTATTTGGGTTTTCAAAATTTTATTTGGGTTTTGGGTTCTTATTTTTATGAATCTAGATATGGGTTCTCAAAAATCACCATTCTTCTCCAAAATATGAAATTTAGTAAGCATATTATCTAATTTCTACAAATTAATTTAGAAATCATTTTCAAGTTTCAATTTTTATTTCATCTAGATTTTGTCACAAATTCAAAGTCTTCAATGTTGCAAAAATTTATCAATCATCTATCTTGTGAAAGGCCCATTGATTTGTGAACTTCTTCGGTTGAACTTTCAACCAATTGGGGGTTTTCCTTCCTTAAGCTTGGTCGGTGAGGCTAAAATTTGCTTGGGGTTGATATCCAAATTTGGGTTTGCTCTTTGTACTCAAAGTTTTTGAATAAAATGATGTTTCTCAATAAAAAAACATTGAGTTTATTAAGAAATTTGGAGGGTAATTTTTTTAAATTTTTATTCCACATACATTTTTTTGAACAATTTTTTAATTCTTCATACTGGTTATACTTTTTGAAGTTTGAATTTGAAGGTTTTGTGGTAGGGTTGACAGTTCAAAGCAATGAGTTCTTGACATATTAGTGCTTTTTGAGACTTGAATTTAATGGGTTTGTAGAAGGTTTGATGGTTTGAAGTAGTGAGGTTTGGGATTAATTTTAGACAGGATGAATTTTTTGAGTAGTTTATAGGAAAGTGAAGGAAAATTGGAGCAGAAAATCTTATTGAAAATATAGAAGTAAAAATACTTAAGTGGGTGGAAGAGTGAAATTAGCAAGAATCTGATATGAACAATAAAAATGCCATAGTGGTATGTAATGGGTAAGCTATTTTCCATGTCATTAAAGGTTTAAAATAAGAAATGATTTTGTGGCAATTTAACGTGCCATTTGGCACTGCCATTGACAGAAGTACCAAATTGGTCCTAAAAATTGAAGTTAAAGGATAGCTTCAGTGCTTTTTAAAGTTCAAGGGTAGATTCAGTTCAAACAAGAAAGTTGAGGGACCAAATCTGGTATTTAACCTAAATGGAAGGCTTAAGTGGTCGTAATGTATGTGTGCATGGTATGAATTGCATGCATTTTGATGTTAGGGGTTGTTTGTGCCAGCAAACCACTCTAAAATTAATTAGGTGATAGGATTTGGTTGAAAATTAGCTTGTTCTTGTTCAATGATATTGTTTTTCTTTTCTTTTCTTTTTCTTTTTCCTTTTTTTAGCCTTTGTTCATTGATGTTGTTTGAATTTCAGAAATATGTAACAATTATATCCATAATTTACCTCCTAAATTCACTTTTTTGATGTTGCAGGATCATCATGTTAAAGCTGTGTTTTTTTTTTTTTTTTTGTGAAGTTGCAATTGTTCATGAGGGAGAGCTGGAGAGGAAGGTGCTTGAAAATACTAGGGGTTAGAAGTTTGCTAGACTTTTTCCCATGTAGAGCTGCAAATGTGGTAGCTTCTTCTTGTCATTCTCAATTACTTGGTTACTTAGGGCCACATGAGTCAGAATAGAATTGTATTAAAGAAAACTTTACTTTTTCTTGTTTTATAATTTATACCCCTAACCGTACCCCTATTTATAAAATAAATATTAATGAAAAAAATATTTTGTAGTTGAAATTGTACCATTTTGCAAAGGCATAAATATGACATAAGGACCCAAACTTATACAAAATTCGCAATGTTGGACCCAAACTTCAATTGCACTCAATTAAGGTCCCGAACTCTACCAAATTCTCAAATAAGGTCCCAATTGGACG